GACGAAATTATTTTTCGTCACGAAACTTTTTAGTGACAAACATTCAATGATGAACCCAGTGACGAAAATATTTCCTCACAAATATCTATAGTGACGAAATTAGCTTTTTGGAGACAAAAAAATTTGTCATCCAAGACCCAACTTGTTGTAGTGAATTGCGCCCAGGAGGCTATGCTGCCTTCTGGTAGCCTTTCGAACTAGGTTAAACCTAGGTCGCCAAGGCTAGATGGGAATATGATGCACATCAAAGCCCCGTTCCGCCGGTATACTGCCATGACCTGGCGAAAGTGGCTTAGGTGCATGTAATGGTCTGTTTTCTCTTCGTACGTCGTAAATTTAGGCTGGATGAAGCCTGAAGGTAAGGGTGCATTCTCAATCGCCGTAACGAACGGTGAGCTATGTAACATTGCCAATGCTTTATCTGTTGGTTCGTAGGCAAGGTGCGGTATTGGCATTCCTACCTCGACGCTTCTGTGCGTCCGAGGAACCAACCGCTGAAGGGCTGAAACTCTGTGCGGGTCGCGTGCCCTGGCATCCTCCTTCCGTCATGCCTTTTCTTCAAGCACAGTCCGTAAGTCGGACGATCTAGGCAACTCCATTTGCCTGGATGATGTCTGGTGCGTATGTGAGAGCCAATAGGTGCTTTCCTCAATGTAAGACCTCAATGATCTCGTTCTCTCAGACCTGGAGTAACGAGTTCTGGAAGTCCTTGATTGAGTATCGCCTGTTCTAAGGCTCTTACTCTCTGCTTGTGATGGCGTGGTATGCCTACCACGATCTTCAGAGTGGCGAGGGGGCGTATTGCTTTTGCGCCCCTCTCCTGTCGCCACCCCTTTCCCTTTTATCTGGCGCTTCATCAATTCCATATCCGTCGCCATCTTCCTGATTAACTCGTCTTGCTCCTTCACCCGATCCTCCAAAACTTGAGGGTCGATCCTCCGCCTCTGTCTGTCAGGACTTGATAAGCGACGGGGGCTGTTACCTCGCCTTCCCCTTGCATCCCATCAGGGATTCTGTCGCTGGGGCTCTAGATCTGCCATGGGAAGGATGGAAGGTAAACCTTCGCGCCTCCCACCTCCCTCTGGGGTTTGCCCATCAATGGCGGACTGCGGCAAATCTTCATTGTGCGCCATTGTGTCTAATCTAGCGAGGAAAAATTTGATCAGGAGGTTTTGTTCTTTCTGTGATTCCCACAGACGGCGCCAATTGTACGAGCAAGAAATAATCTTCTCGTATATTCCTGTTGATCAAGTATGCGCTCTTCCAAACGTCGTCGCTTTACTCCCTGAAAACACAAACGTGAGCTAGTCGGCCGGTGTATGCCGGATACCTCTTCGATGCCTAAGTCAGCAAAATAGACAAATAAACAAAAGCTCTGTGTATTCGAGAATCAAAGTTGTGTTACCTCTCCATAGGTGATGTTATGAGCTTTTATAGGTTCCGTATGGCACAATCCAAGTAGGACTCTTACTCCTCCATGTAGAGTCCTCCTAGGAATCACCTTTCTGAAAGATAATGCTTATCCTTCAACACCCCCTCACTGCTTAAACCAAGTGAGATGGTTCTACCACGATTGGATGTCAATATAACCGAGATAACATGGTCATGCTAAATCCGCAGACTAGACCGAGCTCCCACTAGCTCGGTTCTTCCTTTCATTGCATGTACCTCGATTTGACATATTCCAACTGGGTTGTCTGAGACCGCACTAATCTCATCGAGCTTGGACCAAGCTAACCAATAGCTAGGTTCTGAGGAAAGCTCAACATATTCTGGCTCAATATGGTATGACCGAGCTAACTGTTACCGTTCTAAGTGTGGTGACCGAGCTAACTGCAGAGCTTTCTTGGACTGGGTTAACTGCAGAGCTTTCTTGGACCGGGATAATTGCTAGGCCCTTTTCCTCAGCCCTTCTTACTGCAGTTCACAGAACGGCTCATTACCCAGCTTGGCCCAATTTACACATAAATTACCCTCTTAATATGGATAAAAATTTAAAACATAATAAGAACTACTTGTTATGTTTTAAATTTGTATACTAGATAGATGTGAATTGGATAATTATATAAATTACATGACCATTTTAATTGGACGATTATGTAGTTTGGAATAACTTGTAGATGAAAACTTATAATAGTTGATGACTTTAATTAAACAGGTTAAGTATGGGCTGATTTATTTATTTTGTTGGATGTTCATAATTTAGTTGATTTTGTTAGTTTGAATGACTCTTGCAAATTGCAAGTTATATTAAATGGTTTGTGGATTATATATCGTACGTACGATATATAATCCACAAACCATTCAATATAACCTATATACAGGCCAAATGGAATTCTTTTTATATTTTATTTCTATTTTGATAAACATTTGGTTTAGTTTTTGCACTTTTGGCGATCAAGTGATTAGTCAGTGTTTCACTATTCACATTTGGAGACCAAAATGTTCGTAGGCGAAAGGGTACATTTGGCAGCTAAAGAATTAGTCGGTTAAATTATTAATTTTGGCAACTAAAGTATTTGGTCGCGAATAGGTCTATTGCAGACTAAAGTATTAGTCGCGCAAACTTTACTTTTCCCGACTAACATTTTTGGTCAGGGAATGTGACAATTGGCGACTAACATATTTAGTCAGAAAGATATCACTTTTGGCGATTAAAGTGTTTTAGCAACACAATGATTTAGTCGCGGTAATGTAACATTCAGGGACCAAAAATTTAGTCAGCAAATAGAACTTTTTCCCAACGCTAATTACTTTTACCAACCCTCAATTGGCGACCAAAGTGGCAATCAAAAAAATTAGTTGCGAATAACTTTTACCGACTAAAAATGGACTTTTGCCGACTAAATTTTTAGTTGGCAAAAATGCGATTTCCTATAGTGCTAGTATCCATTTTGGAGTGTCGTTTGTTCATTGGGCCGAACTCCAATGATTGTCCTGCTTCGGAGTAGGTGTTGGCCATAAGGCTGAACTCCAACCTAACCTAATCTCAGAGTGGGCCTAGCATTAGGTCAAGTTCCAAGACTTGGTTAATTTTTACCCATTTCATTTGCCCAGTGGCTTGCGCTTACGTTTAACGAAGCAGAAGCCAATTTTATCACTAGCTTCAGGGTTCGGTTGATCACAACTTAATTTGAGCTTCAAGGTTTGGATTCAAAATTATTGTTATCCGAGTGTGCTTGTGTTAGGTCTAGCTCGATTTTTGCACGGTATTCTTTCGCTCGATGGTGCCCCCAAACTAAACATGTGCACCATCATTGGCCTCGTAATTGCCTAGCTAGGTGCTTTCTTGGTTGGCTGAGCGTCATTGCTTGATTTGAAAATATATAGATATATAAAAAAAAATTTTGTACTGTACTCTTTTTTTTTTTCGAAATTTTTTTTTTTTTTTTTGACAGTGTTCGTCGATTGGCCGAGCTGCTCAACGGCACTTCAAAGCAGGCCAAGCATGCCTTAGCTTAGCTTTTTCTAATTTGTTTTGATGATGTTGATGGAAAATGCTTTGTGGGCCATGCATGTTTTCTGTGCTGGGTTTGCTGCTTGATGTTGTATTGCATGGATCTAGGCTTACTTCTTGCTCAGTCCCACTACTTGGAAGATGGAATATGCCTTCTGGCACCTCATTTTGATGGAGTCATTTCCTAGTGCTTTTATGGAGTAGTTTGGTGAGCTTTAGCTCACTGCTGGAAATTGAGTTTTTAGTGGCGTTTAAAAAGCGCCGCTATAGTTATCAAAAACGTCGCTAATTGTTTTTGTGACGTTTAGTGCCAAACGTCGAAGATGCGGCCGTCGCTGTTACTTTATGACGCTTTAAAAGCGTCGCTATATCAGTATATGCGGCGTTTTTAAAAACGCCGCTAAATGTGCTGCATAATTGTACAATGACGTCACTACACATTTAGCGACGTTTTAAAAACGCCGTGATAGGTAATTTTTATTTTCAAAATGTAACCATTGGTATTCTATAGTGACGTTCAAAAACGCCGTTATAATTTCATTTTTTAAAAAAAAAAAAAATTTGTGCTAATTCTGTGAGATTTAACTCCAAAAAAACACCTTTTATAAAGATGAAAAATATATAATATATTGACTAAATTTAGGTAAACATAATACTAGATCAATTCATGCTCTACTCTACATTTTTTTTTTCTTTTTTTTTCTGCACAAAATGATGATAAAATGACAGGACACAATCTGAAGTAGAGAGCAATGGAGAGACATGATTGAGCATTAGAAGTGTTTTTTTTTTTTTTTTTTTTTACATTATGAGTTCAGTGGGATAGGAATGAATATATGCAGAGTCCATTTGCCAAATCTTTAGGGAGGCTATGATGTTGGCCTCGGTAGCATTGTTGAACAAGAAAATTTTTGCATCCTCATAGATGGCCTTCGTTGGATATATCCGCGAAGTTATGCACGTCCTCCCGCGTTGAGCGAAGCTTTCTACTATCGAATGATCCACCTAAATTAAAAATGACCCCACATTTTAATAATCCAAATTTTATTAGCTAATCAGTAGAAAGGTACATGATACATATAACAGATCTTTATATCTAGTGACTATGACATTTCTTATAAAAAAGGATCGTGCTTACTACTTAGTATGCCCAGAATATGTGTTTTGGAATTATTATGTGATGTGGACTAGCATAGCTCATTAAATAGCCGGATGGATGAAAAGTAGCAAGTCAACAACATCAAAATAATTCAAATAAGGTAACATTTGCATGGTATGCACAAAAGAGGAAGATAGAAGACCCAAACCATCTTTCCTGCCTAGAAGACGGTCCTTCTCTACCAAATCATAACAGGAAGGAATGACACATCCATGCCCTTTCATATCATTAGCACAGTCAGAAATAATTAATGGAAAACCAGTACAATTATATAACAAATATGGAACAAAAATGCATATTTCACGAGCCCCAGAAAATGCATCCATCACCTTTTCCACAGTAACATTTATAGGACCTAGAATGAAGTAACATTAACGCTGTTAATGAATTTATCAAAATATAATCACTTGAAGGAAACCACAAGTTAACATAAATTACCATCACATAAATCAGGATCAAAGGCAATCATTTCAGATAGAGAGAACTTTGTTCCACTGAACTTGGCAATTCCACTAAATGTTTCTGCACGTGGGAATTTCAGAATCGAAGGTCTAAATCCATGCACATGGAAAATTACTCCAAGGTCATGTGAAGAATCAATATGGAAAAAGAAAGTTTCTGCCTGAAAAGAATAGCACGTATACAAGTCAATTAATCCACATAACCAACTTCAATAAATACTAAAGAAATCTACTAATTTATGGACTTCATCAAATATCTGGCTAGCCAGTATACACTACAAACATGGCATTTATTGCTCATTTTCCTACCTATAAACTTTAAATACAAAATTATAACCATTTTCCCACCTTAAACAATCATGCAAATTTGAACCAAAAATGTTAGTCAAGAGTTTTCAAAAAAAATGAATTATTATATCGTAATACACTAACCTCCCTTGTAGCGGTGATTGTCCCACGAAGATCTCATAGATCCAACAGAGATGATCAGAGTTGCCATTAGCAAAACCAACACACTCAGTGCAATAATAACTCGAGCCATTCTTCAGATTTTCTGATTTTAAAACATACCTGAGAAGAAAACCAAACAGATCAAAAAAATGACCACATAAAGATTAAAAGAGAAGCAAGATATAGAATTAGAGCATCAGGAAAAAGAAATTCAGTAATTGATTAGAAATGCCTCCTTTCCATTTCATTAGTAAATTCTTATTGAATGAATCTGTGAGACCTAACTCAAGAACAACAATACAACAGAATAGGTAAAATTGGTGTTCTCCTAAAAGAGAGTCGCTAGTACAATCAAATTAACAATGATATGTCAAAAAGATAGAACAAAATAGTTTTCAGAGTCATAAGGTCTAGGAACTGATACCTGTAAGGCTCCTTACAAGCAGATCGAACTTCAGTTTTCAGAGTCATAAGGTCTAGGAACTGATCATCCTCAATCTTCTTCATTAAAATTTTGTTTGCCTAATACAATGAGAAGAGCTTGAGCATTTGAGTACATGAATGATAAGTTTTCACAAAAACAAATAAAAATATACCTCTATGAGTTCCTTCTCATGTTTCTTATACCTCTATGAGTTCCTTCTCATTAAAATGTCACAAAAACAAATAAAAATATACCTCTATGAGTTCCTTCTCATGTTTCTTATAGAGTTCTGCAACTCTTCTCTTGGCTTTAGCATAATCTTGAGCATTTGAGTACAGGAATGATAAGTTTTCAAGTTCAGACTGCCAGAAGGTATTAGTAGATTAGCAAAATAGTGGGTGCAAAGAAACATAACTGCAATGATAGTGTAAAATAAAATCACACATAACAGGAGCATAGTTACAAAAATGACAGAAAAATGACTGAAATAACGCATCTCAGAGTAAAAGTAGTTTCCAGTTTTGGAGATCTTTAGATGGCTGATGACTTGGCAGGCTGGTACATCACAAGATTAATTTTAATAAAAGCTGGATTCACAATATATGATGTATCATCAAATAAAGGTCAAGGAACAAGATCAGACTTCAATAAAATAAATAGAAAATAAATGAAGCACATAGGAAATGTGCCAAGTTGAGATATTTATTATCAACAGTAGACATACATCAGGGTTTTTAACTTCAACATTGTCTAGCTTGGTCATGGAGAAAATGTATGGTGAAAATTCAACCCAAAGACACAAGAATACATTATGAAACATTGGATTCAAATGTAAGCCTAAAAAACAATCATGTGGGAATATTTTCACCCTGCACACACACAACACACACACACACACACACACAAAATTCCAAACTGTAAAAAAAAAAAATAATAAATTCTTCATAGCAAGAGGAATATTTTCATTTTGAAAATTAAAAAAACAGAGAAAAAAGAAGAAAACAGAGTAGTAGAAGGTTGGAAACTAACCTCATCAGCATCCTCCATACTTGTTTTCTCGCTTCTTAAAAACTGATTTGAGAAACAACAAACAGGCAATTGCTTCCTTTCTAGATAAAGGTTTTACAGAACAGAATCGCCAACTATATGAAATTTCCAAACCATTCAATGAGCTTCATAGTTAACCCAATTGAGCAGTAAGAGACAATTATAAATCTTATGGCCATAAAAAAGTAAAGTTGCAATCCTTCAGCAGGCCTATTAGCTTATTTCTCATGTTCTCAATGATCCAGGAGTGGTTACTATGTTTTATACTTTAAGGTTATTCACAAAATTAGAGACAAATGCATGCAGTGACATGAAAGGGCAGTAACCAAATATGGATAGGAAGAGAAAAGAGTGGGTATAGGAGCAGACAACTTGAAACATAGAGATAAGGTAGATACATTTACTTTCTATTAACAAATAACATATTAGATATTAGATAAAATAAAACAATGAAAAGTCTAATATTGCAAACCCAGACATTTTATAACAGAGAATTTTCACTCATTCTCAGCTAAGCATTTCCTTTAAGCCAAGTGTAAGTATTTACTGAGCCTGAAATCCTTTGAAGCCACTGTTGTCCAAAATTGCATACAACAGTTAACGTGATTTGTAAGACATTTTACATACCCTTGTCAAGCTCCCAAACTGCTGTTCTCTTTCCAGGAAGACTGTCAGAGTCTTCATAATAGGTTATGTACTTTATAGTTAACCCAATTGAGCAGTAAGAGACAATTATAAATCTTACGGCCATAAAAAAGTAAAGTTGCAGTCCTTCAGCAGGCCTATTAGCTTATTTCTCATGTTCTCAATGATCCAGGAGTGGTTACTATGTTTTATAGTTTAAGGTCCCAAACTATGAGATATGCTTTCTAGATAGGGCGGAGTGAAGCAGGAGGGTAAGAGAAAATGAAAATGAGCAGAGATGGTTCTAAAACAGCATGTCAAGTTTAAAAAATGAGCATACTAATAAACTAAAGTCAGTTGAAAAATGATCATTCTCCAAAGAGTGACAAAATAAACAATTTATTTTCAAATTACATGAAGCACAAACAAACAATTTACCAAAACAAGTCCAATTATGTTTGTAGGTTGCTCATAGTAGACTGGCACTCTTCTATGCCCTTTCTCCAAAATTAAATTCATCAGCTCCCTATTAGATATCAAGCATCATCATATATATGATCAAAACAAAGTTAAAAAAGACTTCAAGTAAACCTTCTATTCAAAAGTTTTCCAAAGCATGCAACACCTGTCAAGCTTGGCATTGATATCAACAGCAAAAGTGTCAGATATAGGAGTCATGGCATCACTGGCTGTTTTCTCAGTAAGCCCAAGGGCTCCAGCAATAATTGTTGTCTTATCATGTGTGAGTTCTCCACCTTTTCCAACCTGTTTACAGGTAATCAGAAGACTATCAAGTCACAAGATAAAACATTAGGAAAAAGAAGCTCTTTGCAATGGAGTTTGAAGTGAAAAATAAAAATGGGATAACATTAACTTCGGGAGACGTTTTTATAGACGAGAAAATTAAAATTCCTGCAAGCAGCACATTTTGTAGGAAAAAAGGAGTATTGGATGGATGTTTTAAGGATTCCTCAATTGGAGACCTTTTTTTTCTTTTAGGTGTGGGTGGGTGGGTGGTTGGATAGGAAGGGACATGAGAGGGGGATTGACCAAATTGCATCATAAATAAAATAAAAATAATGTCGTTAGTTCATAATACTTTCACAAATGTGTCTACTTACCTCATTACCATACAAATCAACTAGTGTTTTCACCATGCTGATTTAACCAGGAAAATTGAAACATCATGATGCGAAAAATAGATTTGAGTTTTCTAAAAGCACTTCTTTAGAAAATGTATCCATGCTACAAGAACATAACTCAAGTTTTCTAATAAGCACTTTTTCTATCAGAACAGATGGGCAGACACATTCCCACCTCAATTGCCCATGTAGCAAATTGCAGGGATAAGAAATCAGTTTTAAGTAGGTACAATCGGGCACGAATACCTTAATAAACCATAAATTGCACTGCAAATTCGAACAGCTGTCCACCTGTTCCAAAATTTATTGCTCTCTTCTAAAGAAATGTTACCTAAGATAAATCCCTCACCTCTCCAAACAGAAGTATCAATGTAACTGAAATCAGGATGGCACCCCAAGCAGTAACCAGACTATCCAGAAATATGGGAAGTGTCTAATAAAAAGAACATCTAAAAACATCAAGTACTTCACGATACATGTTATTAAAAATAGCTTGTTTTAACATGTAATAATATATGTACCTCCATGGTAGCAGCATTGCATATAAGCAACGTGCAAAGCAATAAATGCTGTTTTCGGACAACTGGTAATATCTTTTCTGTTGTGAAAAAGTAAAAGATGTCAATTATACTGTATAGTAGTACACAATCAAAATAAAGAGAGAGCCAAAGAATGCAATACAATTCTACCAACCTCAGCCATATGTAGTGTTTGAATTTGATACTTTTTTTTTTTTGAACTGAGAAATAGAATATTCCAAAATCCAAACAAGGGTAAATTAGGTATTTTGTAACATAAAATAAAGTTGAGGGACTTTAGCCATCAAAACATATTATTGTGTACCTCTCCTCCTATCAAAAGTTGGAGAGGGACCTTTGACCAATTTTCCCATAAATTAATATATAACAATAAATTAATATAATTTTTTTTGGTTGGCACTGTTTTTTTTTATTTTCTTTTTTCTTTAGTTCTCTAAAAGATTTTATTTTTTGATTAAAAAATAAAAATTATTGTTATATTTTTTTATTCAAATAATTTTTTTAATTATTAAATTAGGATTATTATTATTATTATTATTATTATTATTATTATTGGTATGGTGATGAATATAGTCATCTAGTAAGTACTGATTCTAATTTTGATACATTATTTGGCAATCTCTTTGAATATGAACTTGATTTTTTTTTTCTCACTTACACATACCTGACATCATGTCAAATAATAATAGTAATAATGATAAAGATTAATCCAATTCAAGTGGCTCAACCTATTCCGTGCTTACGTGATTATTTGCAATCGACAAGGAGTAGTGAATCATCTTGTATTATTCTTCCTCCTAATGCAAATACTTTTAATTTTAAACCAGGTATGATTACACTACTTCCTAAATTTCATAGTCTTGATTTTGAAAATCCCTATTTGCATATCAAAGAATTTGAAGAAGTATGTGCGAACTTCGTTGACCAAGCATGTATCGAGGAAGCAATTAGGTTGAAATTATTTCGTGTTTCTCTTAATGAAAAAGTGAAGACATGGCTTAATTTTTTACAATCTAGTTCAATTTGCACATGGCAAGAGATACAAACTAAGTACTTGAAGAAATTTTTTCCAATTCATAGAACAAACTCTTTAAAAAGACAAATTATGAATTTTTCTCAAATCTTGGGATACTATTGAGCCTTTAGGAAATTCAAACAAGACAAATCCTTCATCACCTTCATTTAGTGCTAGGAAATATGAACTTAGGGAATAAGATAATTTGACTACAAAAGTAGCTACTTTGACTAGGAGGTTAGAGGTAGGAGTGTAAATTCGGCCCATCGGCCTATGGCTTGGTAAGACTCAGCCTGTCTAGGCTCGGTTAGGCCCGACCTCGAGCCCAGCCCGAGGCCCTAGGCTTGGGCCATATGTTTTGATGCCCGACTCGGATCGTATGCCTGGCTCGGCCTACCCGAGGCCCAATGTCATTTTCAAGCTATTTTGGTAGGAAAAAAAAATAAAAAATAGCTAGGCCCAGCCTAGGCCCACAGCCTAGCCTAGGGTCCGATTTTGAGTGGGCTTGGAACTGAGCTTGGGCCTGGATTTTTCCCATGTGGGCCAGCACGGTCGGACTTGAAAATTAGCGAGAGCCCTTGAGGCTTGACCATTGGCCAGCCTATGCCTAGGCTCAGGTGGGCTGGCCAGGGCCAAATTTACACCCCTAGTTAGAGGCCATGGAACTAAGAAAAGTTAATGAAGTCACGTCTGTAGCGGAAATAGAAGATGTTTATGGAATTTGCGAGACCATGGGACACCCGACACATTAATGTCCAACAATTCCATCTTTCAAAGAGGTGTTACATGACCAAGCAAATGTCATGAACATTTTTAAGAAACCTACTTCATCCCCTTATTCTGAAACTTATAATCTAGGATGGAGGAATCACTTGAATTTTAATTGGGGGAATAATAATAATGTTGAAACACTCACACCTTCTCAAGGGCCTTCTAATTTTGTCCCTCATGCTCCTCCACCTTGGAAGACCCTTGAAGGTAGATTACAACAATTCATGCAAGGAAAAATGACCATAAATCTTCAAACATTTCAAGCAATTAATGATATTAAGACCACTCTCACTAAATTGACCTTTTCATTGAGCATTCAAGAAAAATGTAGATTTCTTGCTCAATCTCTACCTAACCCACAAGATCAATATGGTGTTAGTGATTCTTCCCCTTCTATAATACTTAGTCTGAACATGTTAATTCAACATGTTAATGTCACAAAAAAGTTAGTAATTTTCAACTTTTAGCGATAGTTTGAAAAATTTATCACAGAAAAACGTTAATTATAAGTTTTAGCCACAATTTATAAAAACCGTGGCAAAAAAAATGTCACTTATTGTCAATTTTTAGTGACATATGCAAAAAATCGTTACAAAAAATTATTTTCAGAGACAATTTTGCTAAGACTTATTTTCAATAGGACTTTATGGAAATTAAGTCCAACTATTAGGACCTATTGGTAGTTTACCCAAAACATTTCCAATGAAGGCTCAAAAGCCGAAGGAATGTTTTAGACCCCGAGAATAGTGATGAACTTAACAAGTCTGAACTGAGTGAAGAGGTGAGACGTCCTTTTCCTACTCCTTTTTCTTAAAGGTTGCAACTACCATCTCAGAAGTTGAATCAAAATGTAGAAAATTTTGAAATATTCAAACAAGTCAAAGTCAATATACCTTTGTTAGATGCAATAAAACAAATCCTGTCATATGCTAAATTTTTGAAAGGCTTGTGTACAATCAAGAAAAAGCATAATGTTCAAAAGAAAGCCTTTTTGATGGAACAAGGGAGTGCTATTATTCAACAAAATTCTCCATTAAAATATAAGAATCTGGGATGCCCCGCAATTTCATGTGTGATCGGGAATCATAGAATAGAGCGAGCATTGCTCGATCTTGGGGCTAATGCAAATCTTTTGCCTTACTCGGTTTATGAACAATTAGGTCTAGGTGAGCTTAAACCAACTTCAATAACACTTCAACTAGCTGACCGTTTTGTGAGAAAGTCGGGGGGTATAGTGGAGGATGTGTTGGTCCAAATTGACAAATTTTATTTTCCTGTTGATTTTATAATCTTGGACACACAACCTATAGCACTTGCAAGTACTCAAATTCCAGTCATTTTAGGTCGCCCATTTCCTGTAACTTCTAATGCTTTGATTAATTGTAGGAGTGGTGGTATGAAATTATGTTTTGGCAATATGATTGTTGAATTGAATATTTTTAATATGTTGAATTCAAATGGGGATGCTGAGGACACTCATGAAGTGAGCTTGATTAACAATCTTGTACAGGACTAATTTTTGCTCTCTTCTTTTATTGATCCTCTTGAAGCATGTTTAGCTCATTTTAATGATTTTGATGAGGATTATATGCTTTTAATTCTGTTAATGCTTTGTTAGAGTTTGTTCCACTCATGGACATAGATAAAAGGGAGTCATGTTTTGAAATCTTGCCAAATTGTGAGGCCAAGCCATTGTTGTCAAGTGACCACATAGGGAATCCTTGAAACCTCTACCACCCGAACCTAATTTTGAATTTATAAACACAATAGAGACTTTCCCGATTGTCATTCCTCAACATGTCGATAAAATTCAGAGGAAACTTTACTTGTAAGTGGTGAATGTAAAAAATTCCAAAGTGACCTAGACAACAATTTCGTTAATGGTATTGGTTTCTTATTTTCAAATATGATTTGTTTAGAGACCTTACCATTAGGATTTTTCATCTTAATTTTGTGCATTTCAATGCGTGTTTGCAATTCCGTTCCAAAGACAACATTGTGATCGGTCGAGTTCGGAGATCCTGAGGCAGGGCGCGCGAGCCGGGATTTCCGGGAACTCCAAACGAACACAAACATGGATAATCACCGAGTGTTCAAACGGTGACGTCCAAGTCTTGAGGACGGTCAAAAATGGGGTGTCTACACCCCCCAAATGGGAAAATGCATGCCCTGTTTTCTTTGTAAGAAATGCCTTTTATTCATCAACAAGCCACTGAATGCTCTTCATACATGCTTGTCACGCTCACTCTCCTAACACTGCTGGAAAATACAAAGCTGACTAATTGTAAGGTATATAGAGTTGACCAATTCAGATGAATTGAGACTAGCACTTATTTATATTAAAAAAATATATAGAATGGCAATTACACAGAACAGAGAATATATATAGAATAGAAACTCTTCAACTGCCTTCTCTCTAAGGCTTCCCCCACTTCTCGATCCTTCTCTGCACAAACGAAAATCAGCAACCAAATCAACATTATCCTTTAATAATGAAAATGCTGAAAATGAACCAGATTTTTAGAAGAAAATTTGTCTATAACTACAACTAGATTTATCAGGTGTTTTTTTTTTTTTTTAACTCCTTCAAAACACTGATTGTAAACCCAAACACAACACTTAAAATATAGAAAATAAATTATTATTTTTAAATATTCTGGGAATAATTACCAATAAATGTAAAAGCGATG